GGTTAAAAAAGTATCATAAAAATATTAATGCAGGTCTCAGTTTTATCAGCATCTAAACAAGGGGGACTTTTCTCAGTGAGTCAATTTCCTTACCATTTGCAAACAGAATGTGTAAAGCCTCTCATAAATACATAAAGTTCAAACTCGAAATTAACTTTTTTACTCCCACTACTTCTATTAGAATGTTTTTCCAAATGTCTCAGACTGGAACTTCGTAATCAAACTATTTTAATTCTTTCATATACCTTTGTGCTAGTATCAATAGTTGACCTTTTTATCAAATCTTCCTTCAGCCCTGCTATTATTCTGTAGCCCAAGTTTACTCAGAGACCAGTTATATTCTCTCTTGCCTTCCTATTGCAAGGGTAAACAAGGCCGGCTCTTTTAACCTCCTTCCCTGTTTACCACTAGGGAATGAAGAGCTTAAGTAAAAGAATCAGAACAATAAATAAAGAAGATATTATCATTTTCCTAATCCATATTAGGGATACTATTAAACTCTGGTATTACCAAATTGAAAAAGGATTTAAACGTTTTGTCAGTAAGTTCCCCATAGTAAAATGAATCCCTGTGTTCATCGTTCTGTTGTACTAATTAAACAGTTTTAACTAAAATGGTCAGAAAGTACGCACAAGCTGTTTATCACTGCCGGCCTTTGAGCTTCAGTATACTCAAAGGACACCCTACTTTAGATGCGATAATTACTAAGTTCTTACATTTTTACTAAAGAGGCACAGACGAGTTCCAACAGAGAATTTCACATTAATCAGAGCTAACAGGGTACTTATTATTAATAAAGCCATGATTATAATAGAAAAAAACATTTATTCAGTCCAACATTTGTAGGTACTAATTCTAAAAACTGTTTAAACTGATATCATACAGAAAGTTTAGTCTCAGCTCTTCAGGGAAATTCAAGAAAATTAATCATTTATCTGAAGCATAAGAAATGCTAAAGGCTTTTAACTATTCACCCACAAACAATAACATACCCTTTATTCTTTTTCTTCCTAAGAGCTCAGTAATTTTCCTGACATCTTTTCTTCTTACTTTCTTAAACTCTGACAGAAGATACTTCTCCATGAATTGGGAATGCCTTCTAACTGTAACACCAAAAACTTAAATGACCATTAAATAACTAGAGAGAACTCATTTTTAACAGAAGGGCAAATTATGGACAACCAATGGAATTAATCTTCTGGGTGCCTTTTGCACAATTTCCCACTCAAGTTTCAGGAGCACAAACATGATAGATAAAATCTAAGTAGCTCACAGCTCAGGGCTAAGATTAAAATTTCTATAAGAGAAGAAAAAAGATCTAACATTTTCCAAGGGTGCTAGAATAATACACACAAATACACACAATTGCGTTACTATAGCGTGCAATAAAAAAGGGTCAGAGAGCAGACCACCCCATCAGATGTGCAATTTATCAAACTGTGATTTCATAATGGAAAAATGCTCCTTACTAACACAACATACGAAAAAACATTAGTTACTCCTTAATAAGATTTTTACATATCTTCCACCTACTAGTACGGAAGTAGAAATACAGACTCTACACAATCGGCATTTCAAAACTACAGGCTGTTTCGGGCAATCAGTTCTTCAGAAAGGTGAACCTTGCATTAGTTATGGTCTTGGAATAAATGTTAGAATTAAAAAACCTCAATACGCATTCATATAAAAAAGACAAAAATACTAAGAGACTGTAGGGGATTTTTCTAATTTATTTTAGCTTTGTAATTCAATTTTATATATTCTTTCCTCTGTGGAGGTATTTAAAGGACTGTCAAACAGTAATACTATGATACCATGGGCTATTAAAATTCAGTTTCATCTTCTATACATGTGTATGTACATATGTTTATATACATTTATAAAACATAATTCTTTAAAAACAATGGTCTGCCATAAGTTTATGCTTCACAATTAATTTAGGATTCTGCACAAAAAACAGCACTATACTATTCAGTATTCACCTCAGTCAAGTAATCTACATGTTTAAACTAAGTCAAAAAATTTACCAGAATAAAAGTTTATTACAACATCATGATTCAACAATGTGATTCTTTTTCTTATTTCTATTATTAAAAATATTACTAAACTACATCAGAGAACAGTTTCTGGTGATCCTTCTCTGAATAATCTTCAAGTTTACCCATCTTTATACAAGATTTTCAACTGGAGGAGAATGATGGCAATAGAAAAAATTAACTTGATTTATCTGACAAACTCATTCTGATAGTCTGCACAGCATGTCTTCACTGTATCTGATAACAAATCAGTTGTTAGATATCACTGAGATGTTTCATGTAACAGCAGTTACAACGAAATTATCTTTACAAGTTAAATTAATCTTGACAAGTGAATTTTACAGGTATTTTTTAATACAAGTAAGAGTCACTGTACTCTAGACCTTCTCAATGCTGTACTAGCCTGTATGCAAGCAGGCTATTTCACTTCTAACTTGCAGAAAGATCTTAGCCAGGGCCCACATACGGAAAAAAAAAAGAAAGTTGTGGTTTTGTATCTACTGGTATATTCTAGTTGCTCAACTAATTTTTGAGTCTGTGCAGATCCCATTTGAGTAGCTGAGAGCAAACACAGACAACAGGTAGAGAGGGAGGAGCACACAGAGAATGCTGGGTTTGGCTTGACAATGAAGATCGAACTGCCAGGTAACCCCATAGTGGCGGAAGCTGTACATTTCCTAAAAAACATTTCACATAATTTCAGGAGAACCAACTACCTTCTTATTCCAGGTCACATGTATAAAAATCACAAGCCTCTCCAATTTCTGAATTTGTAAGAGTTTATTAAATTTGTGACCACTTCAGGGGCATTCTTCTGAAGGCACAAAAAGAGCTAGAAGTAGCTAGAGAAATCTTACACCTGAAGTTACACAAGTGCTTTGACAGGAGAGACAAACTCTCTCCTGCTTATTTACACTATATTTGATAACTAACTGGTAGTTTGTTATCAAGGAGTTTCAAAATAATCACTGTTTTTGGTGTGGTGATATGTACGCATGTACATGTGTACCTATATGTATATAGATACACATATGCATAGATGTCATAGAATCATAGAATGATTTGGGTTGGAAGGGACCTCAAAGATCATCCAGTTGCAACCCCCCTGCCATGGCAGGGACATCTCCCACTAGATCAGGTTGCTCGAGGCTCCATCCAGCCCGGCCTTGAACACTTCCAGGGATGGAGCATCCACAACCTCCCTGGGCAACCTGTTCCAGTGCCTCATCACTCTCAGGGTAAAGAACTTCTTCCTTAGATCTAGTTTAAACATACGCTCTCCCAGCTTCCACCCATTACCGCTCAGCCTATCACTACAGATCCTTGTAAAAAGTGCCTCCTCAGTCTTCTTACAGGCCTCCTTCAGGTACTAGAAGGCTGCAGTAAGGTCTCCCCAGAGTCTTCTCTTCTCCAGGCTGAACAAGCCTAACTCTCTCAGCCAGTCCTCATAGGAGAGGTGCTCCAGCCCTCTGACCATCTTGGTAGCCCTCCAACAGCTCCCTGTCTTTCTTATGTTGGGGGCTCCAGAGCTGGACACAGTATTCCAGGTAAGGTCTTACAAGGGCAGAGTAGAGGGGTAGAATCCCCTCCCTCGATCTGCTGGTCACACATCTCTTGATGCATCCCAGGATACGGTTGGCTTTCTGGGCTGCAATCGCACACCGTTTCCTCTCGTTAATCTTACCATCCACAGACACGCCCAAATCCTTCTCCCCAGGATTGCTCTCAATCCACACATTGCCAAGCCTGGATCTCAGGGACTGCCTCAATCCAGGTGCAGGACCTTACACTTGGCCTTGTTAAACTTCATGAGGTTGGCCTGGACCTACCTCTCAAGCCTGTCAAGGTCCCTCTGGATGTCCTCACTGTCAATGCAAATTCTTTGAACACTTTTCCCAGCACAAGTAACCCAAAAGCAACAAAACAGCTTTGTGAAAAATTAAAAAGGAGAAGAGATGTTTGTTTAAATATTCCATTCTGAATAATGACTTGCACCTAATTTTCTTAATGGATCAAAGCACAATGAGGTTTCATTTAGAGGCCAGTATGTTCTAAGCAGCATTAAAATAATAAATCTCAATTTGGAAGACTTAATTTAATTAACAATACAAAGAAAAGCCACAGAAATACACCAGCATTACTTCCATGTTTTGTTGTTCTGTACTTCCTTCCACTTTATAGCACTTCAATGTGCAAATGCCTCACTTGAACCCTGTACTCCTCCACTGCAACAGGACCTCTAAATTCTACTGGGAAGGAGTAACAATTTCTTATTCTGTCAGTGACCAGTGCAAACACTTGGAGAAGATTAATGGGACTATTTTTCCCAAGTTGTTTTAAGAAACCATTTAGACCACAGGAGTTCTAAATAGTTCTTCTAGTTAAATTAAACCATTCTCCCTCAAAAGGTAGGCGTACAATAGAACAGAACATCCAGTGGGGAATATAACATTGGCATGCAAGCAAGGAGCTTTGCTTAAGGGGAAAAAAAATCAAAATAACAACCAACTCCAAGACAAAGGCACTTCTGTAACGCAACAGAACTTGTTACACAGGTATGGGACAAAGAGTAACTGAAATTAAGTACAGTCTCTAAAAGGTCTCTAAGGATTCTCCAAAGTGGCTTTTAGAGACATATTAAGAAAAAAAGACGCTGTCCCAAGAACTACTTCCTTCATAAAACTCACTACAGTGTCTCAGGAATGACAGTACTGAATGAACAAGATAGGAATTTATCTTAGATCTATGTGTTTATAATCCATACTAGTTTGGTGTTTAACACAATCTTCTTCCACCCACACTCACTACAAATCAAGCCATCAAGTGGAACATATGCTGGTTCCCTAAGAAGTATCTTGTCAAAAGCAATTCGGTGTGATCCAAGGGTAGCATCACATGAAATTTACATTTAAAGATGACCACAAGGATCAAAAAGTAATTTAGGGACTGAAAAGATATACTTACATCTGGATATTCTTTTACAGGCACATATAGTTTCTCTTGTAACTGTACAATAGGTCCCACAGCATCTGGTAATTCTGCACTTCTCTTCTCCGTACTACCATTTAATGTGTCGTTATACATGTCTTTCCGTACTCTGCTAATTTCTGTGGGGGGAAAAAGGTATATTAGGTATTAAATACAGTAACAGATTATAATCTATCATAACAATCTTCTCTTTCTAATCTTTCCCAAATCTTAACACCATTTTCCTCATCTCTTCATGAGCATCACAGTCACGGTGTGGGGGGAAAAGTCTAGTCTGGTTTTATTAAGTCTTTTTGTGGAGTTTCTGTTTGTTTTTTTTAAATTGCAGGACTCATCTTAGATGTTTCCCTTCATGTCTGTAAATTTGCTGTGTACTCATCCTGTTTATGGAGTTCAACTATTGAAGTAAAAATTACATGCAGCTTCATACGCTTGTAACTGTTCACATTAATTAAAAGCTGTCTAAAAACACTTCTACATATTTCTAACAATAAAGCATCTAAAAAGCAAAAATAGTTAGAAATCTGTACCTAATAAAAATACAAAAATGCAGCTAAACAGTACTATGTGCTAGCTATAAGATTACAACTCAAGTGTGTGGTTACAAAGCACATGGTGTGACGACAAACTAAGAAATATTGTTCCACTGACTACCCCCAGTGAGATAATGAAAAAATGATGGCAAGTATGGTATCAGAGATCTGGGCAACCTCTGTATGCACCCAGAAGTCCTACTCCTGCATTGTGAAGTAATGAAACACTCTTCAACACCAGCAAGGAATGGCAGAAGTGGTTTTACAAGTACTGCTTCTACCAATTACACATGTATTACCCACACTTTGAGGTATTTACTTGCAAGATGTAGTTGAGAAGTTATAAACAAGGCAGTTGAGAACGGATAATTTGATTCACATCCAGTTTAGTTTCACTAAGCTGTAACAATCTGAGAATGGACATAAAGCTTTCACTTATTTCACCAAAAAACATACCGAACAAAAGGTTATATTTAATTTCTAGAACTGTTAAGCTGGTATTTAAATTGCTAATGTAAGAACAAAAAACCCTCAACATTTCATTACTTATGGAATCCCAACCAATGTTTGTCACAGGTTAGGGCTAGGCTGGCCACTAAACGCAGACAGATGCTCTCTATCCCTCTCTTTTCCCACCTCCCAAACAGGATGAAAAAGGGAATGAGACAGAGAGACTTACGGGTTAGAGAAGAAAAAAAACTAGAACAGCTCTAATGATACAATAATGAAAATAATAGTGAAATGTTAAAAGTAAATAACTATATACAACTATATGTAAGTCCGATATCAAACTCGACTCTCACTTCCCTGCCCGGACATCAATCCCCACTGATGCTGCAGAGCAGGAGACACTGGGGAAGCCCCAGGCTCAGCGGCAGCTGGATTCGGGAGCTCAGGATTCAGATCAAAAGCGTGAGATCGGACACCAACAATTGCAGAAAAAGAGAGGGCAGAAACTCTCATGATCACTCAATTTATACTGAATATGTAAACGGAATGGAACTCTTGTTGGCTACCTGTCCTGTCTATTACCCCCCAGAGGTGCAACCTCACTACCTGGCACCCCCAGCGTGGCACACAAGAGCCAGCAGTGGCCTTGGTCACTGTAGGAATAAGTATCAGCAAGAGCCTGTCTGCATCCCAGTCCCAGGCAGTAACTGTAAACATCAGGTGTTACCACTGCCAGTAGCAGGCACTGCCTGCAAAAACATGCTGCTAACTTCAGAAAGTGCAGCCTTTTAGAAGAGACTAAATTGCAAAGTAAAAATCACTAAACAGAGCTGGGGTTTTTAACTAAAACCAGTACATTAAATTTTCTCAATAAGTTTATTCGAATATCACTAAAGAATTACTTAAAATTAATGTGTTAACCACATTCCAAACTGAAAACTAACACTTAAACAGCCATTGTTCCCAAAGCATTAAGACTTATGATAGTGTTGGCTGTGAAGCAAAACCACATATCCGTAATTTCAGTCTTTTAGTTAGAATTGTTACCATTGCTTTCAAAACCTTTATAGTTAAAATTAAAATGAAACCAGAAATTCTGTGTTTTAATCTGACTGTAGGAATCCACTGAAATGAGAAGTCACTTGAAACTCTAGCAGCAAAGAGATTAACATAACCTCTGTTTCATAATCAATTTCTTCTCCAGCAAGTGATTTATAGCTGAGATTTCACTACTTGAAAAGCTAGGGGGAGGAGGGGGAGCGTCAGAAATGATGAATCTCTGAAACACAGCAAACCTAATTTTCAACCAAGTTAGTATGAATTATTTTTAACAAACTTACTATGCATATTCAAGAACAAGTCGTTTCTCCACTCAAACTGACATACTCAATGGTGTATATTATGTAATGATTTGGTGGTTAACACCTGTTTAGAATGGAGAACACAAATTTTGTTCATCATATAATCATAGCTCAAGGAAAAAATCCACAGCTGCTTCTACACTGACAATTTGGGCAACAGGCATAAAATCCTCAGAACTACAAGCAGTATTTATACTGGCTTCAGTATATAAAGAAATTCTTTAGCACATCTCTTTCAACATTATTATCTTTTGGCAAACTTTGTTTCCTTTTCATTCTCTTCAGATTTTCCATTAACATACACTACACTGAAACAAGCTAGGCAGCCTGCTGAAGTACTGAAGTATAAGTAGCAACACAGTCATTTTTATTTATATTGGGCAGCTACAATGTCGTTGCACTAAAAAATTAATTTTAAATTATATCGTTCATGTAGAATATAATCACCAACATTCTATATCCTAGTTTTCACAGTGGAGAAAGAACACTTATTACATCTTTTCCTTGTTCTTACATCAAATTTATGACACTGTAGAGTGAAACATTCAGAACACACAGATGCTACAGTAAGCTGACTTGCAGACTACCACCGATTTCTGGCTTGTATGATACCCAAGCCATCTATCATGCCTCAAACATTATATGGAATGAAGACACGCAGCAACTCAGGATTTTCTACTCTACTACAGGGCCAGATGCCTGAACTTTAGTGTTCTTTGTATATGCTATTTTTTGTAGGATTTTATCTTCTCTCTCCACATTCAAGTCACTGGCAACACTGACAAAAATTAGGACAGGGATAGTCAGTTACATCAACTCAGCACCATCATTGGCTCCTCAATTGCTGCTGTTTCTTCTGCTTCTTGGCATTTTATCTTCTCTCTTGCTTTAGATTCTTTAAAGACCTCAGAAGAAACATTCAGAAGCAATAGGTGAAATAACAAGCATGTATTGCTAGTTTTTCCTTTAACTGCTGATCAGGTCTCCAGACTCCTTTTCTGTATAATACACTGTCTAGAAACCTCCCTTTGCAGCTCTCTTGAACGTGGCAGAATTGAAGGACTACTACTTAAATTATAAAATAATTAGATCAAATCCCCAGTTCACCCATTCTCTCTATTACTTCTAACTATGGCTAAAACACAACCTATCTTCCTTCCAACTTGTTAGGCCAGCCAACCACAAGCATTCTCCCAAATACACTACTCTTGAAACTATTTATCTGCTTAACGAGTATGCTGGAGTTTTCCAGATTCTGCTGTATCTTTTTACGTATCTTCAAGATTATTATTTTTTTCTGTTATGACTTCGTTTTCTCAAATACTTGCCTCTTGTTTAATCACAATTCTTGTGCCTCAACAACAGTCCATATTTTTTTTCCTTTTACCATCTCCATTAAACCAAATTCAAGCTTCTGGTCTCAAGTATCTTGCAACTTTGCCCCTCACTTTAAGTTACACATATCTACAGAACTATATGCTACTGTGTTTACAGCATCTCCCTAAAGGATTGATCAGAAATGCAGTAAAATTCCAGAAAGCCTCACCAGCAGCATGTTAGAAAAACTAAAATCTCTATTCTCCTTGCTTAAGCAAGGATTCATTTTATTCTGTTCTGAAATATTTAAAGATACTTAAAAATCTGGGGACTGGCTAAGTACAAAAGTAGAAAGGCCATATCCTCAGAGCACTTATTTTTATGTTTTAACACTGAATCTACATATCATTAAAAGTAAGAGGTACTCAAGTAAACAGCCTTTTATTCAGATTTATTTCACATCATTCCTTACACACTGCCAAGCAGATGTCTCATCCTGCCTTCCCAAAAGATTCTTTGGCACATCTCATGAAATCACACCTCCCAAGTTCATTTGCAAAGCTTAAGCTTGTCCATATTTACAATTCTTTACAAATTCTTCTACCATGACATCTCACAGGAAGCCAAATGATCTAAAAATGCAGAAAGCTTTACTTTCAAAGCGAACATCTAAGTACAGTTCTAACTACTTTACCTCTATCTTAACACCACAGTGGTAATTACATTGTGTAACACTCTAAGGATTTAGAAGAGAGATAGTAAGGATACTTAATTATAATAGTAGATATGGCTAATAAAAGGAACAACATCTTCACCATACCTCTAAAACCTGTGAGCCCTGCAAATGCATTAATAGGCCTTTCTTTGAAAAGATTTAAGTATCCATCTTTACTGTTAGGTAGAAGCAGAAACTCATATGAAGAATTTCTATATCCACATTATTCACCTTTAACAACACCCTGGTCTGCACATTGCAAGTACTTAGTGTAGCAGTAAATGACAAATCTGTCTTGCTCACAGCATGGCAGTGGAGGAATAGAGTCAAGAAAAGACAAACTGGTTTCAATATAATTATCTTGTTCCACCGTAACATAGCATGACATAGTCACTTATGGTGGCAACGACATGCATTCTTGTCAAGGAGAAAATTTTTCTTTCTCTGTCCCAACAACTATGCAATGAAATATTCTGTTTCCATCATCTACAGAGAGTAATTTTCAATCTCTCTAACACCTTTCTAAGATACGATCTGAATCAGGACACACAGTTTATACTGACTGTATTTGCCTACAAGAGATGTTTGGGATTTTTTTATTTCTTCATGGTATTTAACAATACAGTATTCTTCCCTCCTGAGGACATGAAGGGCTGTGTTCAGACAAATGTTCGTCATCACATTGAAAGACACCAAGAACTTACTGCTTTTCAGTTGTCAATTATCACTGCCTTAGAGGAA